GGATTAACCATAATTACATTGAACCTTATGGGAAAATTTGATTCGGGACGCGACCAGAGTCACGGAACGAATTAAGTTCGTGACTTGAGGTACCACTGTAGGTGTACATTTTAACAATTGGAGTGTTTAAAAACTGAGTATTTTATCAGTTTTTATTATTATTTTTCAATTAGTGCTCTGAAACTCTGCCTTTTATTCTTTTTATATACCCTTCTAGTTTTACTGTGGGTTTTTACTTATTTTTTGTATTAATGTGGATTTTATCTTGGAATACTTGATCTGGGTATCAATGGCCAGATAAATAATTTAGATATGACTCAGATCACTCTTCTCCTCCAGTTTCCAAGCAGGAATTTTTTACCACTTTGGAAGTTACTGATGTCTGATGCATAATTTGCAATTCCATCTTCTTTTCACAGGGCTGCTACCTTGGAACCTCATATTAAAAATGCAGCAGACGTTAAGCCTCTGGATTCATGCACATTGCCACTGATTATGAGGAAAGGAACCAAGAGGAATCAGTCCTACAAACTGCCAGAACGTCTAGGTTAAGAGATACAAATAACTGCCACCAGTTGGTGGACAAAACTGTGGAGTATACTGTATATTTAATCAGTTAAATTTAATCCAACGTAAGCTAGAACAGGTTTCTCTGACTCCTACCACCACCACTACTAACCCTAACTGGAGATCAAAACATAAAAGAGATCTGAGTCATCTTTTTCATATGAGTCCAGTTGCTTTTCATTTGCTATGGCTCCTGAGCCCTCCTGATTCAATCACTGATATCAAGAGTTTGTTTCCACAAGAATTTGCTTTATTCAGTTTTTCAAACATCTGTTTGTCTGACTTTTACTGCCAGATCAGCATGGGAGACTGCAGTCTTCAGTCAAGGGAAGAAAGGTCATTAAGGAAGCTAACCCAGACCATGACCTTATTTGTTGTGAAGTCTCTCTTGCTGAAATATAAACTTAAGCTCTGCCTGATGATGAACAAAAAATAATTATTCCCAGGTTGGAGGCATGCAAAAAAACAACAACCAACAACCTGTTTGTCAGCCCAGCAGATGATATGGTAACAATGCCCCCATCCCTCAAACTGGTAAAAAAAAACATTTTAAATAAATTAGCTTAGCAAAGACTGAGATACTAACAAGAGTTGAAATAAATCCTGTGCCCTTACCAGTCAAATATAATAATTTTATAGAGCCCAGCTGTAAAAACTGGGTTAAACTTCACAACCCATCATATTCCCTAAACATGTTACTCCTTATTAATCTTTTATTATTATTGTTGGTCGCACAGCCAGTTGTTTAGACTGGATTTAGCATTTCTATCCACCTATCAAGCCCTTCCCAAGGACCTGGGATAGGCTGATGTTGTTGTTTGATGGTGTTAAAATTACTGTCGCAGGATGTAAGCTGTTCTAAGTAAAGCTGCCTTTTGCAATTGACTAATGGTGATTTTGTCAATGCCGATGGTCTTCAAGTGGTGCTCCAGATGTTTTGAGATTGCACCCAAGACACCTATTACATTGGTACTATTTTTGCTTTCTTTTGCCACAGTTGTTCTATTTCTATTTGCATA